CATCAAGTACCTTCACATTATTGTACAGCCACCATAACGTTTGTCTCCAGAACCTTTTCATTGCCCCAAACTGAAACCCTGTACCCACTGTACAATAGCAGTCCCTGCGCCCTGCCCTGGACCCCCACCGTGGTGATTCGTACACCAACACTCCGTCATGCTCCAGAGCTGAGGCCATCACCCCTTCCCTCACCCAGGTTCAGGGGGAGGGAAATGGACCTGAAACTTGGCTGATTTCCTCATAAGCATGGGGCGAGGAGGGTGTGTGTTAGGCTCTATGGTCTGAGTAGTGCAACACAGCCTGATGGCCTCAAAATATCCCCGTCCTCAAGGCACACCAAGCGTCTCAAGTTGCACTATTAGTTGCATTTACTGACCTTTCCCTGGAGTCCTCTCTTCCAATGTCTCATACTCCCTGTGTGCCGTAGCTCTCGGGGGAAGCATAGCTGGTGTTCGGGGGACGCTGAGCTGCCATGGGCTAGGAGACCCACCTTCTAGGTCTGGTGCTGCCTCTGACCGGATGATCTCCAGTAACCAGCATGACTTCTGTGAGCCTCCGAAAGCCAAGTGGGACTAACGGCACTCTCATCTGCTACGTGGGTGAGGATGCCAACTCTTTCAAGGCTGTAGGTATCAAATGGGGCACTTTATGTGAAGGCTGGAAGTGGGGTTCACATGAAAGGGAGAATGGAGTCTAACCATGGCTAGCTCACTTCTCTTTCCTCACTCAGAAAGGTGCTCTGGGGGTGATAGGGTGGCGACCTCTGACCCCTATGGCTGTGGGAGGCCCCACAGTCCACCGGTTCTGGAGGAGTCTCATGGGGAAGCTCCCTAAAGGTCAGAGCTGCTTGTAAGCCTCTTATTACATATTTTCCCATGGGCTTGGGAGTTTTCCAGTTCTAGGCAACATTTTTCTCATGCCTTTGAGGTAGTGGATCTGCCACTGGGCCTTGATGCCTACAGAACTGTCAGAGCAGTGAGCTGTTTCACCCACAGCACTTCTGACACCTACTGTGGGCTTTTTCCTCACATTGACCAATTTTCCAACCATCCGGACAACAACTGGGTGTCCTACAGCTCCATTCAGTTCTGACACTAACTGTCCGGAGTTAGTGCCACCAGACTCCACAGGTTTAAGGGTCCAGTCCCACAAGACTATCTTCACTTCAGAGGCTAGTCACAAATATGGGGCCTTAGCTTACCCACACTTCTGTCCAACTTGGTTACAAACTCAGGGGGTTTGCCACAACTCTCCCTTTTCAGGTTTGATAATTTGCTACAGTGGCTCACAAAACCAAAGAAAACACTTTACTTACTTTTACTGGTTTATTATAAAGGTTAAAAATGGATAGCTAGATGACTAGGTACAAAGAGTGAGGTCCCAAAGGGTCCTGAGACAGGAGCTTCCATCTGCATGGACTTGCAGGGTGGGGTGGGGTACGGTGGGCTCATCCTCTGGGCACATGGATGTGTTTGCTATTTCAAAAATTACCCATGACGCTTAGATAAACCTACCCTAGGCTCTGAATTTGGACATAGTTCCACAAAGAAGCAGGGACATGAATAACCCTCTTTGGTGGCAGCAGTGGCTACAACGTCCAGGGTTTCCATGACAACAGGGGTAGTGAACTGGGCGGGGCAGGTGGGATCCAGGCTGTCCTCTGTGTCACCGAAGGGTTTCCATGGTGGCCTAGTTCTGTGGCATGATTTTGGCTCTGACTCTGGTTCCATGACCTGCCTGAGCAATTCCTAGAACTTACCAGTGTTCTTCCAAGAAATACATTTTCTGCTTAAAGCAGAGTTTCATTTATTTGTCACCAAGTTCTTCAACTGATAGATTAACATATCCAAATCCCACCAGTTTTTCCTAGACTACTTCAGCCAGCCCTAGGATGAATCCTTTGCTCCTTCCTTCATGTTCCTCTGTATTTCCAGCTACTGTATTGAAACGTGTGAAACTGCTGGCTTCTTAAGTCATAAGGTCAACTGAATTGTTGCAATTTCATATCGTTTAGCCTAACATTGTCATCATTCCCCTTTCTAGCAGAATTCATTCCATTTGCACCTTTCCCCTAAGAGACTGAGCTCACAGAAGGCAGAGCTCAAAGGCCCCAGAGCTGGTGGGGTGTGCATGGATAGAGGGAAGAAGTGGCCTTGGGAGAGAAAGAAAGGGAATTTCATTCATAAAGCATCTTCTATACACTAGATGCTTTCTGGGTACTGGTACACATGTTCTTTAACTACAGCTTTAAAAGAAGGTAGGATTGTCTCTACTTTATTGAAGAGGAAACTGAGTTCCAAGATTTAAGTGCCCTTTGATAGACCACATAGCTTAGGAAATGGTGAAGAACCTTGATATTTTAAGGTCTTCGTCAAGTGTAAATTTTAATACATGTATTGCAAGCAGAAGGATATCTAATTGTCCATCTGCTTATTTAACAAAAACTTACTGGAATTCTTACCATGTATTGTACAATGGTAAGACAGTGTAAGGGGTTGAGGATAGCAGAGGGCTAAAATGGACCTAGTTATTGGCCTCATGGAGTCCGTAATTTGGCTTCCAAGTCTTCCTCTAAGAAGTTGTGAATTAATTCACCACTCATTGACTGACTGCATCCGTCCATCCATCAGCCATATACTCATTCAGCTGACTCACACATGTATGCATTAATTATTTTAACATGCTCTGTCATGTACTCATTTAATCATTTTGTTCCTCTTTCCTCTGTGTTTATTCACTCAGAAGTTTATTCTTTCATTCACTCATTTATCTGTTCATTCTTCTATTCACTTCCTCCCTTCATTGATCCTTTCAACGATATGCTGATTTATGTACTCATTCACTCACTCTCATGTTCATTCATTTTCTGAATCACTCACTCAGCCTGCATTTACTAGGCCTGTTCTGTGTTCCAGGGAACTCAGACACAGGCAGCTAGGAGTGCGATAGGAAGGCTGTTACTTTGTCTGCTTTGATTGCCCAGTGAAGAAGAATCCTCTGTGGTACGTGTCCAGTGGGAGCCTCCAGGGAACTGTGGAGAGCAAGCCCTGCAGCCTGCCAGTGCTGTTGCTAACCCAGGAGCCTCTCAGGTGTGGCACCCATCTCCCCACCAAGGGACACCTGTTGCCACCTCCTAGGAAGTGATCAGCGTTGGAAAAGCTCTGCGCCTTCAGCTTTCTGTCTTTCCTCCCCTCCCATCAGAGAGGACTCCCTGAAGCTAGGGGTCTTGCTGACACTGCGCAGGGGCTGAGGAGGGACTGGCAGCATGGAGGCAATGCCCAGGGAGCTGCTCTGCCAGGCTTATCTCAGGCCAGTGTGACAACTGGAGACAGAAGCCACAATTAGAAGAGAAGCTTTGTTTTTGTATTTATCTGGGGATGGCGGTGAGGTAGCAGGCAGCAAAGAGATTGAGTTGCAGCATGAGGAATTTAGATTAGACAACTGGAAAAACTTCCCAGGATCAATGCTGTAAGGTCAAAGGGAAATACTGCAGCCTCCTTTTATCGTGAGTCTGTGGTACAACAGTCCTTATAAGTACTGACTGAACACACAGAGCCAGGAGTCTGGATACTTGGGTCAAAGGCCCTTATCCATCAGTGGGGCCATTTCTTCTTTCTTCTCTATTTTCACTCCTTCGAGCCTCTGTGTGTTTATCACCTTGTAGGGTCGTAGTGAGGACTAAATGGCACAGTATGTGACAGTGACTCAGCCAGGGACATAGTACAGACTCAGGAAGTATGTGTGGCATCTGAATTCTGGAACTCCTGTGCCCTCTGGTAGTCCAGTAAAAACAGATCCAGTAAGTCATTAACGTGATTCCACTTATGGGGGCAGAGAGTGTTTATTCATGCTGGTTACCATGCTGTTGGAATGGGACAGACCTGGGCAACATTTGGAGCTGGGTGTGTGGTGGGGAGTAGATTAGGCAGCAAGAAGGGAGAATGGACTGGAAGAGTCAGTGAAGTCAGGAGGACACTTAACCTACCTCCCGGCCCAAGGACAAGAGAGGTTTAGGGGGAAAAATTAGCTATGGGAGAATTTTAAACAGGAGAAAGTTATGTTCAGATTTTGCTCTTTGCAAAGACATCTGACTACTAAGAGATGACACACTTGAGAGTATCAGAAGTGGGGGCAGGGGGTTCAGTCTGGAGGCTCTTGCAAAGGTGAGATGGCTAAAGCAAGGTGCTGAGATCCACATGAGCTCAAGGTGAGTTGAGTCTTAGCTCCCTTATCTCTTTGTGAAGGGCAAGTGCGAAGGCACTGGCATGGGGTTAGAAACTGTTCTAGGCCCTGTCCTGCAATACTGTGACCAGAATGAAATCTGCACTCCTTTTCCAGAGCAGGCTGGTGCTACATGCCCCAGGCTTTACTTGTCTCTACCGTCTTTGATCCAGTAATTCCCCTGGAGGACAGTGCAGAGAGATGATCTAAGCTACGAAGAAAAGGTTCTTTTGGGCAGAGATTGCTATGTGTTGGGCCCTCAGACCACATTAGGGAATGTTAGCGCATCCGGGAGAGATTTTGAAGGGCTCTTGAGGTCTTTCAGCTAGTCACTCAGTCCAAAAATATTTACTGAGCACCTGTTATACATCTGCATCCCTCAAAGTTCTGGGTTTACAATAAGGAACAAAGCAGGAAAGGTGTCCGCTTTCTTGGAGCTCAGAACTGGGATACCAGGGGTAGGGGTCCAGCCGAGTTTCAGTGTTTGTGCTTCCCTGAGCCCCTAAAATTAAGTTTAGTTCTTCTTTTATGTGCTTCCCTGCACCCATACTCACACAGATGCCAACTTAACTTCCATCCCCAGTTCCCACTAAAAGTCATCACCCAAGGCCTATGTGTGTAGCAAACTTCACTGAAGATTTGGGGAGGTGAAGGGGTTACACAGTGAGAAGCCAAATATCACTGCCCTATTTCAGAGTCATTGACTGCCCAACAAATAATTTGGCTGCCGTCTTTCCCCCATTCCCTGTGTCTCTGCTTCCTGGACCACCCTCCTCAGTGGAAGAAGAAGTTCCAGTCAGTTCCAGTTGCCAACAGCATTTCCCTGCTCTGGGCACACTTGTAAGCCCTTGCACAAAGCCTGCTATTCCTGCTACAAATGGTAAGCTCCTTGGAGCACCCGGCACAGGGCCTTGGCCACAGTGAACATTTTGCAAATAGTTATTCAGTGAATAAGCAAACGGATGAACGAGACGGCCTTCAGATCACCAGAAGGAAATGGTGCTCCTGCATCTTTGAGAGAAAGGAAAGCAAGTTAAGTTTCACCAAAATGATGCTATAAGGGATTCTGAATTACAAGGTGAAAGCTAGGTATCTGCGTTTGCGTTTGACATTTGCCCTTTTGTCTTCCCTGCACAGAACAGAAATGGTGAAGAGCATGGGCTTTAGAGTCAAATGCTGTGGATCTGAATCTTGGCACTTGCATGGTGTCTTGGACAAGGTATTTATCTCTTCTAAACCTCGATTTCCTTATCTGTATAATGGGCACATTAACAGACCCATATATAGTGGAGTGGGTAAGTCGACTCCAGAAATAGACTCTGGAATTCAAATCCTAGTTTTACCACTTATAAGTAGTGTAATCCCGTACAAGTAGCTTATCCTCATCATCTTCATCTTCAAAATAGAGATCATAGTACTATTTATCTCACAGGGCTAGGAGGATTAAATGAGTGGAGGATTTCATATATATATATATATACTTTATGCTTATATATTCTGTATATATATATGGCACTCAAGCAGTGTCTGGAGCACAAGAAACACTATATAAATTTAGCTCATATTATTACCTACCTCAAGAGAAGGTGGAATAAGATGGTAAAGGTCAGGTGCATGCTTAGCACAGTTCCTAGGATGTTCTAGCAGTTCAAACCTGTTAGCTGCCCTTATAATTCCATATTTTGTCAGTTAAAAAGCAGTCTTTTTTTCCCCACCATCTCTGAATGTGTCTCTCAGTCACTTTTGGGATGGAGGTACCCATGATGTAGTTTTCATTGCCCGCAGTTCATATTTTGCAGAATGGTGTCAGCCGCTTGGAAGAACACCCCACAGGCAGTAGTGGAGCGCTCTCTGAAGAAGTACCAGTGGCATCGACCCTGTGATCACCCCTGGGCTCCAGATGGCGCAGAGGATGATGTGCTGGGGAAACCATGGACGTAAACAGCTCTGGTTTGAAAAGTGACCCAGAGGATGTGGATTCTGAATGTGACAAAATTTGAGGATTCCCTTAAATAATTTGCTTCATGATATTTTCCCTTCATGCATGCATGAGATTAATATACATGAAAAACCCATTCTACATAAACCTAAAAAAGCTTTCAGTAAGTATAAAATATACATTCTAAGTAATAAAGATCCACTGTGTCACAATTCACTAGGTTATCTATCTTTATTTCTCAGAGGGACATAAAATAACAGCACCTCTGACAATCACCAGTACCTTAGATCATGGATGGTCATGGCTGCATCATCTGCCTGCCAGTCAGCATGTCCTGAGCAACCAACCCACTGTAGCAGGTGTGGTGAGCCGAGAGTCAGAGGTCGGAGGAAGAGAAACATGCTGGGGTCCCTGCCTGAAGTTGGCCGTGGATTCTTCCTGCAGACTGGCACTGCCTGGGGCAGCCCAGGCCTCCCATGCTCTCCTCTTAGCATCTGGCTGCCAAGCTGAATCTGCTCTGGCTTTTCTTGGGTGGCCTGGTCTTGGCTCACTGTCGGCTTTCAGGCAAGTCTTTTCTTTTCATCTGAGCAAGTTGCAACTGCTTGGGCTGAGCCTGTCCCATGACTTACAAGGGCCAGGTCTGGGTTGGGCAGGCAAGTAGGTCTGATAAGGAGGATGGAGCAATTCTGGCCGGCACTACCTTGTAGGGAATCCGGGCTTTCCCTGCAGGGCTCTGGGCACAGGCAAGGGAAAGAAGGGTGGAGACTTGTACCCAGTGAAAGTGGCAGGCCTCTCTGAATATCAGTGAGAGAGAGCAGGACAGCGTCTCCAAGGTAGGATGTTCTCCTGATTCCATGTGCCAGGGCCTACAAGAAACCAAGCAGTGACCCTTGCTTCCACCCCCTCCACCAGTATGAAAATCTCTAGGCTTTCCTCTTTGATTTTAAGAGGATTCTGTGGGGAGAGGAAATTTTGCTTATCAAGAAAAGTATCACTTAATTTGGTGACATTGAGTACAGGTGGTGACATGTGAATGTCAGAGAGGGAAGGGCCGAGGTTGGGGCAAGAGGATGAATGAGGTGACCGATTGCAGCCAATGTCACATGTCGGGAAGAGTCACGAGCAACCACTCCTTTCTGAAACTCATTCCCACATGTGAGTACACCCTGTGTGTGTTTTTTACTCCCAAGTTCAAGTTCTCTGGGTAATTAATGATATTTTGAATATACCGTTGACTGTGAATTCATCTGCCAAGAAAGGAATAGTTGATATGGTTTGGTCATTTTAAATTTGAAGATTATTAAAAAGAGAGGTGGTGGTGGCAGGGGGTGGGGGAGAGAGGAAGGAAAAACGGGGAAAGAAAGAAAGGAAATCTAACTGAGGTGATTTCTTTCTGTGTGAATACTGCAGGATATTGTTATGTTGCTATAATTTATGAATTTCTTGATTGTTTTTGATTGATTGATCCACTGAGCAAACATTTATTGGATGCCTAAGATGAGTCAGGTGCTGTGCTAAGGCCTAAGTTAGTGAAACAGAGGGTGCTTGCCTTCAAGAAACTTGCAAGGTCGTAAGCACGCAAATGCTTATGATATGAAACGTTTGCTTGAGTCACTTGATCTTTGCAACCTCCCTTTAAAGTAGGCATTGTTATCTATTTTACAGATAATGAAACAGATTCCTGGAGGTGAAGAAACAAGGGAAGCTAGAGGACTCTGGGAATTCAGAGTGGTGAGAAGTGATTCCCATTTGGGAGAAGTCTGGAGGGGGCGGCCTTTGAGTGGTGAGAAAAAGGCAGAGCTGGCCTGTAGCAGGTGGAGAGCAGGAACTGCCAACTCCAGGCCTTGGGGCAGAGCCAGGGCAATGGAGAGGGGAGGTTTAGAGGCTCAGAGGGTGGCCAGTGAGGCTGTTGGCTAAGTCTGAGCCCCTGGGACCTTCCAAAAGGGCAGTCTAATTCCATGAAAACAGTTCGACATAGTGGTCAGACAAGAAGTAGTAGTGATTGCAAATCTGCATCGCCTGGAATTGCACAACTCCAAAGGAATGACCTGCTTTGTTTGGAAGGATAGCTCTGCGCTGGGAAGAGCATAGGCAAGTATCCTCTGCTTCACTACTACCTCCTCTGAGCAAATCAGCTCAGCCCCATGGGCCTCAGGCCTATAGAAACCATGGTGGGCACTAGAGAAGGCCAACTATCCATAGAGGGTCAACAGAAGCTGTGGCCTCTCTTGTTCATTCATTCATTCATTCTGCAATAACTGCAATAACTGAGTACCTCTATATACTAGCGGCTGTGCAAGGAGATAATGAAGATGCCATTTCTACAATCAAGAACTTGGTCTGGTGAAAAGATGGGCCAGAGAATAGTAGATTACTGTAATGATCAGTAATGTACACTTGCTGTGTGCAAGTCATTGTTTTAAGTGCCTTGCATATATTAACTTGGAATCTGTACAACAGACTGCTTACATTATTATTCTTATTGCAGAGGGAAAGACAGGGGCACAGAAATTACACAACTTGCCCAAGGTCACAGACCTGGTAGGAGGCCGAGCCAAGATTTAAACCCAGGCAGACTGGCTCCAGAACTCAGGCCTTTAACCACTCTGCTACATCAACTAAATACAACCAAATCAACTGTTCAGTGCAGGATGGCAAGAGGTGGCAAAGGATGCTGCAAAAGCACAGAGTACTTCCCAATCTGCAAGGTGGGGAGTGGGGCAGAGGGGACTCCCTGGAAGAAGTGAGACTACATGGAGGCCTGAAGGATGAGCGGTGGCCACTCAAGCTGAGGAGAGACTGAGGGAAAGTTCTAGGCACTGAGACAGAACCAGAAAGAGCTGCTGGCAAAAAGGAGCATAGGCTGTTGAAGGAATTGCGGGAGCCCCTTGTGGCTGGAGGGGAGGTGGGGGAAGAGGCTAGGGTGGCGGAGGAGACTGGTGGGTCGTGATGTGAGAGGAGCTGGAAGTGGCTTCCTGTGGCCTGGGGTTACCCTGGCTTCCCGGGCACTCCGGGGCCTGTAAACATGCCAGTCACACATGGGCCCACTCACAGGGTGATTGCCTTTGTGTAAATAAATTATCCCTTACATAAATCCCTGCACATCCAGAGAAAAGGGGCCTCCTGAGGCCACCCCTGAGGGGAACTTGGAAAACCTGGGATGCGGTGACTTCGTCTTTCTGAACTTCAGTTTCATCATCTATAAAATGGGTTTTGTAATAACCCTAGCCAAGGTGGAGCCTGATAGGATGTTTGTGAGGGACCTAGATTCCCTCACCTTGTTCCCAGCAGATTTCTCCAAGAGGGAACCTTCACTAAACAAGGGAGGCACTCTGTGGGAGATTCTAGGGCAACAGCTTTCAAATGGGGTTTTCAACAATCTTTGAATATGCAGGAATATGCTAATAAAAACAACATGACTATTTCTATTATTTCTATTACGTCACTATTCTCTCCTAGAAACAGTGTCCAGTTGTTAAGCAGGGGACTGTGCTTTAAAATTTTAGTTCAGATTCGAAAGTCAGCCGTGACAATCTGCTAACCAAAGTAGATAACTGATAGGGGAGACTGGATCAATAAAACACCATTTGCCTCCCATCTCGCATGGCCATGTTCTCCAAACACCACTGGTTCCTTCCCTCAAGGCCCATCAGTTGGGTTACCAGGTCATTTGTAATAATCATCAAGGGCCAGTGCGCTTTGTAGCGTGTTTTAACATTCTGTGGAACAAGAGCAAGCATTCCTGCCTGCTCTAGCAACTGATGAAATTGGAGTGAAATGCAGTGGCTTGAGGCATCTGCAGCATTCCTGTGAAGGCCAAGAGGAATAATCTGTATCGGTTATACTGATGCAGTCATAAAGGAAATTAAACTTTGCATCATTTTTAGCAAAATGAAGTGTGGGACCATCTGGACGTCACATGTACATCTATATTCTTGAAAATTTTTGCCTCTTGTTTCATTTAATGGTTTAGTCCATATATGTACAGATCCATATATACACAGACGTAAACATCTCAAGAAAAATTTTTTTGTGCTCATGTTCTTAACAGGTAGATTTAGATTTAGTAACTAAGTATCCAATCCTTAGTAATAAACATCACATTTGCATTGTTTCCTGAAAGAAAAAGAGAAGGACTATCTAAGCTGCTGAGACCTTTTTTTCTTCCAGGATTTTTCTGTACTCATTTGGAATGATGATTTCTTAACTATAAAACCTCCCATGATTATGTTTTGGCATGATTCTTCTACTCTGTCCTAAATAGTTTTGAAATGATTATTGCTTTACTCAGATGATAAATAATGAAGAAAGAAAAAAAGAAGTGATTATAGATAACTTCATTTTGCAACCCTTTGAAAGAATTCCTGGAATAATCTGTGATACATTTAAAACAAAAGATAAATTCAGAGTTGGAAATTAATCTCAGTACCTGGCTCACTTTATCAGATGCTTGATCTTCTAAGAATCATATTTTGCATCTTCCTAAATTCTGTAATCTCTGAAGGGATGTTAAACCCAAATGAACACAACATACCATAACAAATAGCCCAAAGATATTTTCAAGGAATAACCCAGCATCCTGAATACTGTGCGTTTGCTCTGCATGGAAATGCTTTGCAAAATTGTCAGCCTTTTCTCGGATGCATGAATTGATAGAATTGAGAGATTTCTGGAGTTCTTTTATTGCTTTGCTTGCAAATCAAAACTTATTACTACTGAATCTCATACCTCATTATAACCAGATATGTATGAAATGCTTATCTCTCTTTTCATCAACATTGCTGCAAAGCCATTGAATTTTCTGCTCCTGTTAGCAACACTATGATGGGTCTGGCCAAGGATTTTATTGAGATCAATTCCACACTGCAAATTGTATATGGATGCAAAAGCATCCATGTGCAATTGTTTCCGGTTTTCCCTTCAACCTTGATGAGCCCAACAGCCTTTCTTTGTTTATGCTGGGGCTTGAGGTCTTCTTGGATCTTTTACACAAGTTGACAAGTCTTCTTTCATTGAACTGTTGGTTGGTTCATCACAGTTATTACTAAGCTGAAGAAACACTGATGCCATTCTTAATGCCCTGAAACATTTCTTTCTTCATTGTTCTTTTAAAGATTTCATTTAAAAAATACGTACACTTTTGTAGTGATCAACTAGTAAACTCAGTGCAGCCAAGTTCTATGAAGATAGGGGCTTTGTCTGCTTTTTTATTTTGTTTTGTTTTGCACAGCTAGACACACATTAGGTACTGATTAAATATTTGTGGGATGAACAAATGAAATAAATCTTTTATTTCATGGTTCATTCTGATTTCAAACATATTTCTAAACACTATTTTGCTTTCCAGGTAACTTAGCCTCATGTTTTAAACCAGGGGTTGGCAAAGTTTTTCTGTAAAATGCCATATTTTAGCCTTTGTGGGTCACAAAGTCTATCACAAGTATTCCCTTTGTCATTGTAGTGCAAAGGCAGCCAGAGACAATATATAAATGAATGAGCGTGGCAGTATGACAATAGAACTTTATTTACAAAACAGGTGGTGGGTTGAATTTCACCTATGGATCATCACTGGTTGACTCATGTTTTAAATTATTAACTAAAAAAAACAAAAAACAAAAAACCCAGTTCTTTTTGCTCAACTTACTTTGGCTGAGGTGATAATTTTCTCTCAGTGATTTTGCCACAAATGAATAATAACTCTTTGATTGCAATATTATTTCTCATGTTTTCTGAAAATTTTCAGTTATTTTCACTAATAGAAATAGAAAGTCCCCTTTCCACTGCTAAATTGTCCTGGCTGCACAATCAATCTGAGGAATAGAATGCTATTGAACTCCAGACTGCAAAGACCTGTTTCCCAGAATCTTTATACTTTGTGATTCACCCAGAACTTTCTGTACTTTGAAGGCACATTTTGTCTGATGCACTGCAGCTGTTTCTTAGGTTCTGAATTTCAAATCATGTGCAGGATCTCAACCTGAGATAGCATGACTTCCTGCGTCTATATTGGTCCCAGATGTTCCGTGATGCAGTTTCTGTGGGGATGAGACTTGCTGGCATCAACACTGCCATGATCTGCCCTACTGTTTGACTTGCTATGTAAGCTCTTAGGAAGGATTGTGAAGAATGATTATACAGGCTTTCAAATAGTGACAGGTATCAGGGAAGAAACCACAATTTATCACCTCTAAAATATCAAAGGCCTACGAAGAATAAAATTTTTAATTAAAAAAAATTTTGCTAAGAAATGTAGAGTGCTGACAGAAATGAAAAAGAAGCATGATGGGATAATGGGCAGGAGAGCACCTGGGCCGTTGAAACGTCATCAGCAGTTGGCTTGTGTCAGTATGCTCATAGTTTTCGTTTGCTGTGGAGATGAAAAATTAGGTTAATACTGTCATGGATTGATTTCCCATAACAATAACAAAACAGTTACATTTATTGAGTGTTTATTATGTGCCAGGAACTGTATAGACTTTGCATGGATTATCTCATTTCATCCCCATTCTAGCCCTACCAGATACACTTGACTATTTCCAGGAAGCTGTGTTTCAGTGACCTTATTCACCCTGGCAAAGGTCACAGAGTTAGCACATGTGGAGCCAATATGTGTGTTTCTGACTGGCACAGTTTTCTTTTCCTTTGAAAGATGTGGCTGCAGGAGAGAGTAGGATAAAAAACAGTGACCCTCCAAGTGTAAATGGGCTTTCCACCACCTCCACTTCATCCATAGCCCAGCCCCTTGGTACATGCTTCAGCTGCTTTTCTTCTACAAAGATTGAAAAATCAAAAGAGAAAGTTCCAACTTGGTCTTAGGGGTGAAGGATTGGTGGGGGCAGGAGTGGAGTCAAAGGCCCCCAGTTACAGACTACTCACCTGACTGCAAGGGGAGGCAAAGGCAGAGGAAGACATTGGGGTGGCTGTTGAGAATGTTGCAGGCCCATCAAGATTTGAGCAAGCTGAGGGATTTAGAACATCTTATTTAGGACTTATCGGTAGGGTACCCACCCAAGTTCTGGGAGTGTGGTACATTTTCAGTGGGAAGAGAACACCCAGAGAATGTGCTCTAAGAGTGTATTGGGGTTCTCTAGAGAAACAGAAGCATTAGGATAGATACAGATACAGATACAGGTCCATAGAGATCTATTATGAAGGATTGGCTTGTGTGGTATGATTGCCGAGAAGTCCTGCAATCTGCCATCCGCAAGCTGGAGGCCCAGGAAAGCCGGTGGTGAAGTTCCAGTTCAAATTCAAAGGCCTGAGAACCCGAGAAGCCCATTCATGGTTTAAGTCATGGTCTGAGTATGAAAGCTTGAGAACCAGCAGCATCCACGTCCAACAGCAGGAGGAGATGGATGTCCTAGCTCAGGCAGAGAGAGCAGAATCCCCCTTCCTCTGACATTTCATTCCATGTGGGCCCCCAGGGGATTGGATGACGCCCACCTGCACTGGCGAAGGCAATCTTCTTTGCTCGGTCTACCTATTCAAATGCTAATCTGAGAAACACCCTCACAGATATGGCCAGAATGTCTTACCAGCTCTCTGGGCATCCCTTAGCCCAGTCAACCTGACATACAGAAGTAACTATCGAAAAAGAGTTAAGATGCAGATCTGGCCCTTGCTGCTGCTTTAGAGGTAATTGTGAGTGTATGACAGTTTTCCAAAGAATTGTACCAACTACCACTTTGTGACTACTATGTTAGGTACCCTACAGTGACATTGTGACACAGTTATCACTGTCAGCCCCACTAAAGAGCACTCAGAGAGGTGAGTGATTTGTCCAAATTCACACAGATGAGAAGTGGCGCAATCAAGATTTGAAGACGATGCAGAAGAAATCCTGATGATTCACAGGGATGCAGCTTGTTCCATCAAGCCTTTAGCGACAGGTAACTGGCCAAGGTGTGGCTACTCTTAGACTAGACTAAAGTGAAGAGGGTGGGAGCTAATGACCTCTGTTTCCTTAGTACCAGGTTGAACAGAATTAGTTTTACGCCTGGTAATAATAGAAGTAACTGTTGAGACCTATGATTGTTAAAGAGTATTTTGACACCCGTCATTATGTTTAATCCAGGCACATCTGTGATATGATTCTATTTATTGCTTGCATTTTACAGAAGAAGTTGAGGCTAGAATTCCTTCCAGGTCCACATTTCTGTAAGTTAAGGTTCTGAAACAAGGAGAGCAACTGTATCATGTACAGTTAAGAGCAGTCATCTGAGTCTGCCTGCCTAGCTGGCATCTTGGATCTATCCCTTCCCAGTTGTAAGGGGAGAAGACAGGATTTGGGGAGAGTGATTTCAAGGTAGAGAGAAAGAAGTCTTGCCTAGAACAGCAAGAGGCAGAAAGGGCCACTGTTAAGAACAAGGGTCTTAGAATCATTTATTTGCACTTAATCTTGCCTTTTATTAACTTGGAATCTCAGATGCCTAAAATGGAGTCATTAAAATCCATCTCACAGGGTCATAGTTATGAACATCAGATGAAAGGAAAGAGCTTAGCCGGGTGCTCAGCCTGCATCCACGTTCCCCCACGTGAAGGCATTAGCAGTGCAGTGACTGAAATGACTGCGGGCCAAAGGAGTTGGTCTGGGCAACAGTTAGGCTTTGGCGTCTGCGAACCAGGGGTGTCTCAGGGCCAGCCTCTGGGGAGGAGGAATGAGATCAAATCACCCTTCAGGAGCCACACGGGGTCTGGAATTGCTGAGCCTAGGATCCACTGCCTGAATGTTCTCTAGGAATGTCTCTGCATGTCTCTCGTTCCTGGAGGCCATGGACACAGTGATCCTGGCATCTCTTTCCTTTCCTGAAGGCATCATCCTTGGCTTTATTCACTCTTTACAGGACAGGCTACATCACTTGCGGAGCCCAGTATAAAATAAAAACAGGAGGCATCTTGTTCAAAAATTATTAAGAATTTCAAGATGGTGACGGGAGAACATTGGACCAAGTGGGAGAACTTCCTGAGCATGGGATCCTGTACAACCACACAGGCCTCACTGCCATGAAGCGAGCCCTGACTCTTGACCATGGCAGTCTTTTGCTGGACACCT